TCCAAAGGCCCACTATGCACTATGTGAAGAAAAACTTCCTTTTGTTTGTTTTTAACCTCCTGCCCATTAATTTCATTTGGTGACCCCTAGTTCTGATTTACTTGGGTCTGTTAGGGACCATGGGGTGAGTCACAACTCACAGGGCCTGATGGGAGGAGAGTGAAAGATGATGAAAGGCAAATGGTTTTCATCTGACACTATATATCTCCAGGATTCATACGTCAGTTAGATACATCAGAGATTACAGAATACAGATTATTTATGACTTTGAACTCTGTTGACAAGCTGAACCATTACTAAATGAACCTTCAAGTTTAATGGCGTGTCCATCAAAGAGTAAAATGTGACATTTTATTTTCTGTGCTAAAATTCAAATGCATTATGCGAAAAGGGCATGAAGTGACCCTCCTAAAATGCCTGAGATGAAAGAGGGAGACTATCCAATTTCTCTGAGGCTAAATTAATTCTGAGTGGTCCTGTAGTTCTATAACAGCAAAGATGAACTGTCACAGAGGTTAATCTGACTACTGTGCTTCTTTCCTGGGTATTGCGCATCCGTAGGGAGAAATTATAAAGGTCAAAGTACATGTTTTAAAATACTTTTTTCCAAAAAGACAGAATAGTTCACTTTAATGAAGTATAATAAAGAAAAATATCACTCCCCCATCATTGACATGATCTGAGAATAAGTGATAAAATATTCATTACAGAAAGGTAACTCAAAAAGCCTTATGCAACAATATCCACTGCATGTCTCTCAGGTAAACAAATGTTGAGAACTTTAATGTTTCTATTAAATAGTGGCTTTGCCCAGCTGCAGATTGTCAATAAGTCTGGCAATAATTATACTCTCCCCCTTAGAAAGAAACTAATTTACAGGTTTCTAGCAAGGCAGCAATAATGAAGCCCAAGGATTGGAGTAACCATCAAAGTTCATCACAGTTTGCAGTTGTCCTGTGATACCCTCAAAAGAATTAGACTTGCATCCTGCAAACAGCCCCTCAGCAGAGTTTTTCACCCCCACAGACAACAAACTGGATTATGTGGCTTGCCCAGTGAAAGCAAGGTGCCTATTTTATCAGAAACAAAAACAATTAAGAGTTAATCTATTTCTCAAAGTCAATTCCTGCCATTAATGATATGTGATATTTTGAAACACAAAGAGATACCATAATTTTACAACAATAAGCACCTAGTGTTCCATTATTTCCTTAGTAAAGAATATAAAAACAAATGGACACATCAAGGCTTTACTTCTATTCAGTTTTCAGCATTTCAGTTTATTGGTTCAGCAAATCTGGCCTGTGTAGTCTCAGAAACAACATGTATACATATTGAACCATTAGCTTATAGATCACATTCAATCCTAATATCATGTGACTAAATCATGCCTCTCTGTATCAGAAATATCCAATACATATCCAAAGGAGGATTTCAGTGTTTGGAAAAGATAGCCAGCCTTTGTACTGACATCTTACTCCATGGATTACACCACGGCAAGTCATTACAATAGAAGAGCTTCCGGAGGAGGGTGAATTGAGAATAATGAAAGTCTGGGGAGCTGTTTTGTTTTATCTATCATTTTTTATTTTTCTTTTGGAGAGCATAGAAGACAAAAATCTTAAGGAGGATTTGAATGATGGATGATGGCATGCCAAAAGGGCATTGGGAGAGAATTCAATTCTAAGGCATTGATATGAGATAAATGGATGGGAAAGTATACAAATGGAACATATTGCTTGTATTACTGCAGATAAAGAGAGGAGAGGTGGTGGTAGATGACTCTCATATACTTGCTCACATTGTGGGTATGTCTAGACTACATGCCTCTGCTGGCAGAGGCATATAAATTAGACTACCCAACATGGTCAATGAAGCGGGGATTTAAATATCCCCCCGCTTCATTAAAATAAAAATGGCTGCCACGCTGTGCCGGCTCAGCTCATCATCGGCACAACGCGGCAGTCAAGACGCAGATCAGTCGGCAAGGAAAGCCTTTGCCGACCAATCCTGTAAACCTCATTTCACGAGACATAAGGGATCGGTCAGCAAAGGCTTTCCTCGCCGACCAATCCGCATCTTGACTGCCGCGTTGTGCCGACGATCAGCTGAGCAGTCACAGCTGGCAGAGGCATGTAGTCTAGACATACCCTATTAGTTCAATTGATTTAAATTCGACTGCTCATCACAGAAGGGGCTGCAGGATCAGCTTGTTCATCGAATTCCACTTCAACTGTGGGAAGAATGAGGGAAAGAAAAAAATTCATGCCTATTCATTCTTACTAGTTTTATTTTCTAAGTATATATTTGCACCATGCCTGTAAACTCTTGTTCTGGGGTATTCCAAAACCCGAATTTGATCATATATGAACATTATCTAAATTTGAAGATGTTTTAGAACTATATATCTCATTGAATTGATTTTGGTGCTGGTTGTGGGGAGTAGTGTTTATTCTGTTACTTCCTTTTGGGCCAAGAACTAAAATAATTCAATGTGTAAAAATAAATAGTAAATCTCCCCTTCAAGTAGTACAGAACACAAAACAATTTAGGAATAAAAACCCTTTCTCTCACAACTGAAAAAGGGCTATTGCCATTAAATGAGATTCAAACCAAGAATTATTTTGTTCTACCGATGCTCCCTTTGCATTCCACAAGAGTTGAAATTTGACAAACCTTGTATTACATTATGATGCCCAGAAATAGAGGTAGATTTATTGCTAGATTTAGCTGATAAACACCCTGTAAAATTATGGTAGGAAATGAACCATGGTCAAGAAATATGCCACTTAATATTGAGAAAGCATCCTTCATACCACTGTGAGAACCCTAGGTGGCACAAAAGATTTAATACTACTACAGTAGGAATTGACAGATAATCAGATAAAATCTGATGTACATCTTAAATGAATATTTCATTCATTTAAGGACAATATATTCTCCGGGAAAAAAATATAAGTATTTAAAATAGTTTCAAGTTTGTTCTTAGAGCAGATAGATCTGGCAGTACCAAAGAAAAGGGGGTGGAGGGAGAAAGAGACACACAGAGGACCTAATGCTGAAATATAGGATTGTTCTTTAAAAGCACAGTTTCATTTTCTAAGCATGAAAAGCCATTGATGCCAAAGCACTGTGCATATAAGAGTCACATGTTGACTATAAAGGGATGTGGATGTACAGATAAGCAAACTGACCATCTCAGGGACCATCAGATATTTGAGATTCCACTGATTATATTATGGGAACAGAAACACTCTTGCAATGTATTCATACCAAAAATATGACAACCCTTGACCTGTGTTTTTTTGTCATATGGAATCTCTTCTGTAGACATTGTTCAGAAATAAATCAATCTTAGAAAAAGTGTTTTCAGAGAATTCCTCAGACTGGAATGATCAAAAGGCACTTAACTAGCATACAGCTCGGAAAAAAAAGAAAATAATTGATTGTGCCCCTCATGACATCAAGTAAATTCACTATCCTGAATTTCAGTGGAACAGATTTCCTTCTTACAATGTTTGAGTTCATGGTATGAACTCTGCATTATGAAAAGTAACTTTGTGAAAAGTCACACGAATAGCAAAATGTCATTTTAAAGACCATAAATTATTATTCTAAACATTACCAAGATACTCACCAAGATGAATCAGGCATAGATTTTTTGCAGTGGTAATGTTATAGAATAGAAGCAAGTAAAATGAGATCTCCGGAGATGCATAATTCCATAGAACCCTACTCCTGGAGTTACATTTTTAGTGAGAGACTGGCAGAGAACATTACTTTCTGAAAATTGCTAAATTGGCTATATGGTGAAACTACTACTATTCTACCGATACACTCTACTGTACTTCACAGGGGAGCTTTCACCTATTTATAGGATTCAGAGAAAGAACTGTATTTTTTGTGTATAGAGATCTTTGCCCGCAGCAGCAAAATATATAGAATGAAAAATTTCTGAGCTAAATTCAGTGCTCCCATGTTTGAAGGCACCTTCCATTGATTTCATCTACATCTGAAAGTAGAATTTAGCTCACTAATGTTAAAGTGTGCTTAAAGCTGTTAGGTTTTATGTCCCTCATTGCAAAAGCTATGGCTTACTCTATTTCTGTATTACTATTTCACTCGAATCATGTAGATTTCTATATATTTTAAATAGAAGTTCCAAGTTTTGAACATGGGTTTCTAAAGCTAGCACCTAAGTCTACATTTTAGCCAATTAAATGCTATTTTGAAATTTAAAATTGGCATATGGATGCATTAATATGGATATAGGGGATTGACTTTAGACATTGAAGTTTGGAAATTAGGTTCACGGGGATTTTTTTTTAATTGATTCAATTTTCATTTCAGGTATTTGTGTGAATAAATATAATTGGACCATATCGTCCGCTGATGCAAACAGGTGTGGCACCACTGAGGTCAATGGAGCCATACCCATTCAGACCAGCTACAAGTCTGATCTGTTATGGTATTATTGAAGTGATCCATAAAAGAAACTGATTGAGTGAAATTCACTTCGCGGTGCTAAAACCTCAGCTTTGTATGGTGGCAAAGATAGAACTCGCCGCCAAATGACCCACAGGCTTTGGAGACGCAACTCATCCATTGCTTCAGATCATGGATTAACATGCTCTCTGCTATCAGGAGGAGACTAATTCTGATCATGCAAAAGTAAAGTATGCATAAGACATAGAAGGTAGTGTGTGCAAATATTAATAAGCGTTATGTGTATTGTTTTAATTGTTGTGCATAAAAGGTAGCATTAAAACTAGTTGCTAATCTTATGCCTGAAATATTAATTATACTCTGATAGGTTTTTTTCCATCCATAGCTTGTGATTAAGGTGAAGGCTGGTCCTCATGAAACTTCGAAATATTTTCTCAAATTTCATCAAATATTGAATTTCTATGAGACAAAAGGGGAAACAACCCCCCTGTAAAATTAATAAATTCCATTCCCCCCATTGTTCTGCCAGCAATAGTGAAACTGCGAGACTGTAACATGCAATTTATCTCACACAGCAAAATTGAGCAGTGAATCGTGGCATTGCGGATGCTAATGACATGGTAGCTATATGTATAACATAAAGAACTATAAAGAAAATAATAAGCAAGTGTCAGGAGTGCAGCATGCCCTGATTTTTTTTCCACATATCATTGAGTAACAGATGAGCAAGTACTGTCTCTCTTATGCTTCAAAAACAACAATTCATCAGGAGTGGGTTCTTGAATGTTGTAACCTTATAAACGGTGTTAAACTTCCAGATGGGAAGAGGGCAGGCTTACTCTTCACTGCTCTGGTAGATTTCTGCCTCCTTACTCTTGCTAATCTCATTGGCATCAGTGGATACTAGAGTTGATGGCGTTTGGAGAGTGCCGTAAAACATCTTCAAGATAAAGCGCACAATATCACTCAGCTCTAGGTGCTGGGTTGTGGGCTCATTTTCAATATTGTACGTTGTTACAGTACAGCTATTATTCAGTTGTTTACAGCTGAAAATGATGGTTTCCTCTTCTAACTCAATGTTTTCTTGAGCATCAGACTTGATTTGGATATTGGTCTTGGCATGCCAAGTGTTGTTATTGGGATCCACTTTCACAGAGATGCCAGTCCAAGTCTTGTTTTTCACAGAGATCTGCATGTTCTTTGTTAAGGAAAAAAGATGCATTGAAGTTAAAACTAGCATGCTCAGGTCTGAGTTGAGAACAGTGGCTCAAATGCCAGTATATTGATTGTAATGGCCTGAGAGAAGATTGTTTATTCTAGTTGTTCAATAGTCAGTATTCACTTACATTTTGCAAAGTATCAGAAATACTACAGCTATTTTCTATTCTAAGCGAAAAGGAAAAACATTTTTTCTATGAATCTCAGATTCTATTCTGTGATAAGTATGGGTACAGATATTTAATAGCAATTATTCTCCAATGCTATTAACCCCACACAAAAAGGTATCTGAACAGTCAACATCTTATTTGTCTTCTGTTTATTATTACTATTGTGGTTGTGCTTTAGGCAGCCAATTCAGGATCAGGACTACACTGTACTAGGTATGGTGCAAACAAGTAAGTGCTAGAAAGTGCTCCATAGACAATCTAATCTAAGACAAAACATTGTAAGTAAACACAAACTTTGTAGATTTTCACCTACTTCTCTGTGGTATATGCAGTCAGTTTCTTTCTACTCTACTTTTAGAGGTCTAAATTTAGTGGCTCATCTTAGATGGAAAAAAGACCTATTAGCCTATAAAATACAAATCACTTACCAATATAGAACTATTTCTTGTTTTCTAAGTATATTGTGCAATTTTAAGTGCCTCAGGAACTAGTGCTTTCATTACTTTCTTACAAGAATTATTTCACAGATTAACAGTTCTCACTAGAAGGATTCTTTTTCCTCTGATATTTAGCCCAACTGCTCAAAAATAATTGTTGATATGTAAGAAATAGCAACTGAGCCTAACATATTATTCGGGTTTGGGACATAGGCCATATTTTTTGTTTATTTTAGCACAATGGGGTCTTGATTCACAAATATGGATCCAAAGTGCTACCGCAATATAAATAAGATACAACAAGAAATTCACCTGAATCAGAAGATCCAACCACAATTAAACAACCTCTCACAGAGGAAGGTAAAACCCTTCCTAAGGTGAGTACTAATGAGACCTCAGGGGAAGTTCCTTCCCAACCCCACAGTTGGCAATCAGTAGACCCTGAGCCTATGAGCAAGAACCACCCAGCCAATCCCTGTGATAGAATGCACAGTGACATTTCTGAAGCCTGGTTCACTCTGCACCCTGGTTCACTCTGCACCCATTTCCTGGCCTGGTCATTTCTGTTGCTTTAGAAGAAGAGGACTAAATAAATAAAGACACCACACTATAATCTGAAAAGGAGTAAGAATGGCAGAATCTCACCTTATATTAACAGCAACTTCTATATAAATATAAGTAATAGACTTCAGCATTATTCTTTCCTGTATTAAAAGTGAAGGGGTACTCCAAAGCAAGTTGTTCATGTCTGCCACCACCTCACATATTCCAAAGAAAGAGGGCTATAATATCAATTAAGTTCTCCAAAAGTGATTTCTTAGCTTCAAATTGCCTTCATGTCTGCATTCATAATGTTATGAATAGGAATAACTCCCACTCCTACTCTCAGGGTATGTCTACACTACCACCCTAGCTTGAACTAGGGTGGTAATGTAGGCAACCAGAGTTGCAAATGAAGCCCGGGATTTGAATTTCCCGGGCTTCATTGGCATAAAGCCGGGCGCCGCCATTTTTAAATATCCGCTAGTGCGGACTCCGTGCCGTGCAGCTACACGTGGCACGGACTAGGTAGTTCGGACTACGCTTCACGAGGAGTAACGGTAGTTCGGACTAGGAAGCCTAGTCCGAACTACCTAGTCCGTGCCGCATGTAGCCGCGTGGCACGGAGTCCGCACTAGCGGATATTTAAAAATGGCGGCGCCCGGCTTTATGCCAATGAAGCCCGGGAAATTCAAATCCCGGGCTTCATTTGCAACTCTGGTTGCCTACATTACTACCCTAGTTCAAACTAGGGTGGTAGTGTAGACATACCCTCAGAGACTACATCTACACTGCAGGATTCTTGCGCAAGAAGCTTTTTGCAGAAGAGATATTCTGCAAAAACTTCTTGCACAAGAGCGTGTCCACACTGCTAAAGCGCATTGGAAAAATGATGCGCTTTTGCACAAGAGAGCATTCAGACTGCATGGACGCTGTCTCACAAGAAAGCTCTGATTGCCATTCACAGAATGGTCACCAGAGCACCTGTGCTTCTTTTGATACGCTGTTTTCGCACAAAAAAACTCTGTTTCCAATCCATAGACAACTTTTTGCGCAAGAGCTCTTGCTCAAAAAGGAGTCATTCCTCATAGAAGGAGGAATACCTATACCACAAAAACCCCTCTGTTCTGTTGATTCACTGTACATTTTCTTGCACAAAAAATCACTTGAAGTGTGGACACTCAATGGATTTTTGCCCCAAAACTCTGCAGTGTAGCCATAACCTCAGAGCTGGGAAGGATTAAGACAATTCTTTCTTGAATTCTGTGAAACACTGGTAAGATTTTACACAGACAATAACAGAAGAGAAAATGGAGCCCTTGAGTCATCAGTTAGCAGTATTTCTAAATGAACAATGAACACAGCCACCCATTCACACATTAACTCATTCTGATAGGCAGAACAGACAAACTGAGTCTCGTACTCTAAATTATGCCTGGAATAAGAAAATGCCAATACCAACCACACTGTAGTTTGGAGCGATCTCCTTGGCCAGTTTGGCAAGTAGCTCAGCCTTGTCAAATTCGATTACTAGGTGGATTGTTTCTGGTTTGGTGACTGGACTGGGTTTGACAAATTCAGTCACCATTGCTGCTTTTTCAAACACGGTGACCATCTTGGTTTCACCAAGCGTAAGAGTTAGCCTTGTACTGAAAAGCAGGATGCAAAACATTACAATCAAGCCAAAAATGAGGATCAGCCCAGCCAAAAAGGCAAACAGCAGAGACAGGAGAGTATTTATGATGTTCATGATTGTTGAATGTTCTGATGAAGTAAAAATAGCCAAATGCCCTTTAAAGAGCACCACGACAGAGTGCCATCATCTCATTGACCTCCCTAAGTTCTAGCCAGATCCATCTGTGCTGAGACCAAGCCTGGTCTAGTATCAGGAAAAGGCTACTACATCACAATGGGTAACATGCGCACAGTTGCAATTCACAAAGGGTCCTTCAGCAGCATTGCCTCCTTCCTGAAGGACCTTGACATTGGCAAATGCATTTTTAAGTCCTTCTTTTTTTCCCCCTTTTACTTAAAGGCACCATTACAGCATTGTCACAAATCCCTCTTAAGAAGGCAAAACATGAAGTAATTCCTCCACCCTGACAGCTGGTTTCCTAACCACTGGAGACACTTATTTAGTAGCTGGTTCAATAGTCTAAAACATTAAAGAGAAGAATAGGCTCCTATTTTTTTTCCTTCTTGTTGACAATGCATTTTTAAGCTCTCAAAATAGTTTTAAAAATCCAATTCAGTTGCTTGGGTACTTACATATCCCATCATACACAAACGCATACTTTTTAAAAAAATCAAGGAAACAAAAAGATAAAGACATGATGCATCTAACACTTCTCTCTCAATAAACAAACATGATGAGCCAAATGTAAATCAGGGTAGCTTCATTGCTGATTCTCACCAGATAAGGATCCAGCCTGTTATTCTTATAAAGAAATACCTATTTCATTACAACAACTAAGTCCTCAACTTTAACTGTTACTGTTGTCTTGATTTTGGGACCCCATTTCTAAGAGACACCCTTAGATGTGATATATTTTCAAATATTATTTGAACAGTACTACAATGGTATCTTGAGTTCCCAATCAAGATCAAAGCTAATTGCTGATAGAACATATTCATAAAATACATATTTTCTGTTTCTTGAGAATAATGTTGTATGTATAGTCTGACAAAAAACTGTGTAACATTATTGCTTTATGATAAAATCATGTACATCTGTGTACTTGCTTTAAAAGCTGATCAATACAGGTAATCAATGTGAATATCATTGAGAATTGGTAGCTGCCAGAGAGTTAAGATTAAAAGATAGAATTACTTTATATGCACTTTCCATACCTAGCTACCACAATGCCATATATTGTATTTTACCATTTGATTTATAAGTATGGATTGACTTTTGCAGGTATAAAAAAGGAATACCTTTGAAGGCACCAAAGTAAATGAAACTGATGTTGGCAGAAGCAAAATTGGATTGTAAGTCCATTGGGAGTGGCTATTAAAATGGGTGAATAACCAATTTTTGGTTCACTGACATTTCTAACGAGTATTTTTAATTCATTTCTGGTAAGACAAAAAATGAAAACAAGCTTGGGTGGATTGAAAAAAGTAAAAAGTCAGGTTGAACTCAATGTTTTGGTTTTATTTTGGCCATTTAAAACACATTATAGATTTTTAAAATAAAAGTAAAGGAAATTGAGGTAAAAATCACTTCTAACCAAAAATTGAAACATTTGACATTTAAAAAAAGACATTTCAGTTTTTAGAATTATGTTCTTAAAATGAACAATGTGGCACAATTGGAATTCTCAAATATTTCAGAAGCACAGAATCTACATTTTTTTCTCCAAAAAAGTTTCATCTTATAGAATCATAGAACACTAGAATTGGAAGGGTCCTCAAGAGGTCCTCAAGTCAAGGCTCTTACCCTCATGGCAGGACCAAGCACTATTTAGAACATCCCTGATAGATGTCTATCTAACCTGCTCTCAAATACCTCCAGAGATGGAGATTTTACAACCTCCCTAGGCAATTTATTTCAGTGTTTAACCACCTTGATAGTTAGGAAGTTTTTCCTAATATCCAACTTAAACTTCCCTTGTTGCAATTTAAGCCCATTGCTTCTTGTCCTATCATCAGAGGTAAAGGAGAACAATTTTTCCCCTCCTCCTTGTAACACCCTTTTAGATACCTGAAATTTGCTAGCATGTCCCCCTTTTAGTCTTCTCTTTTCTAAACTAAACACATCCAGTTCTTTCAGTCTTCCCTTACAGGTGACATTTTCTAGACCTTTAATCATTTTTATTGCACTTCTCTGCAATTTCTCCACATCTTTCTTGAAATGTGGTGCCCAGAACTGAACACAATATTCCAATATTGAGGCCTAATCTGCACAGATTAGAGAGGAAGAATGACTTCTCGCTTCTTTCTCACTACACTCCTGTTAATGCATCGTAGATTCATGTTTGGTGTTTTTGCAACAGTGTCACGCTGTTGACTCATATTTAGCTTGCGGTCCATTATGATCCCTATATTTCTTTCTGTAGTACTCCCTCCTAGACAGTTGCTTCCCATTCTGTATGTGTGAAATGGATCATTCCTTCCCAAGTGGAGTACTTTGTGTTTGTCCTAAAAAATTTCATCCTATTTACCTCAGACCATTTCTACAGTTTGTCCAGATCATTTTGAATTATGACCCTATTCTCCAAAGCACTTGCAACTCCTTCTAGCGTGGTATCATCTGCAAACTTAATAAACATACTCTTTGTTACAATATCTAAATTGTTGATGAAGATATTAAACAGAACCAGTTCCAAAATTGACATGTTAAACAAATTTCACACAATTCTTTAGCTGCTATTGAGGGATTTTCTCCATCCCACCAACCACAAATAAATTTAATTCTTTGGGAAGGCAGAAAAAAAAAGTTTGTTCTCACAAAGGTCTTTTGTTAATTCAGAAATTGTATAGAAAAGACCATATTTAATCAATAGAGGATTTTGTTGGAGGTGAATGGGAGAGAAGGCACATGAAGAAATTGATGAAAACTTAAAATATGAACATTTTTTAAAAATTCATAATTAAAATAGAAAGATGGAAAATATTTCTAATTTTCAAATATGAAAAAGTGACCATCTCCACTAATCTAGTTAGATATCCCAGGATTGGAAATATATTTTGACATTTTGTCTGTTGTTCTGGATTCAGAGGGTAAAGCCTTGGTTCCAATAAAGTCAATTGCACAACTCCCTGGCTGTGTCTAGACTGGCAAGTTTTTCCGCAAAATCATCTGCTTTTGCGGAAAAACTTGCCAGCTGTCTACACTGGCCGCTTGAATTTCCGCAAAAGCACTGACGATCTCATGTAAGATTGTCAGTGCTTTTGCGGAAATACTATGCTGCTTCCGTTTGGGCAAAAGTCTTTTTCCAAAAAACTTTTGCGCAAAAGGCCCAGTGTAGACAGCAGAGATTTGTTTTCCACAAAAAAGCCCCGATTGCGAAAATGGCAATCGGGGCTTTTTTTGCAGAAAAGCATGTCTAGATAGGCCACGGACGCTTTTCTGCAAAAAGTGCTTTTGCGGAAAAGCGTCCTGCCAATCTAGACGCGCTTTTCCGAAAATGTTTTTAATGGAAAACTTTTCTGTTAAAAGCATTTCCAGAAAATCATGCCAGTGTAGACGTAGCCCATGGGTAAGAGCAAACCTACAGTGTTTTATTGCCTTTGATGGCTTCATTTATAACATTGTGCTCCTGTTCTGCCATGGCCTATTAACATAACAAGAACTATGATCTAGTAATCACATCCATATAAATGGATCTTTGTGGCTTTGCATGGATTACACATGCAGACTTGATTGTAGGATTGGGCCCTACACAGGTCACTTCAAAATCAAAATTAAATTCACAAAAATAAAGATGTGATAATTTATTCCTTTTGTAACTGTTCATTTCCTTAATCATTTCATTTTGAGCATTTGTCTGCCATCAACCAGAACCATCTCTTTTTCTGGTGCTTTTCAGTCTATCAAGTATATAGCACACATTGTCACATTTTGTTGGGTTTGTGCTGTCATTTCTATATACCGTAGTTCTCAGGAGGTCATAAAGGGTATGTCTATACATCAGAGTTACTTTGGGAAACAGAGGTATCCTGAAATAGCTCCCCCGCGTCGTCATATGTCACCCATTATTTCAAAATGATTTTCAAAATGAAGGGCGTGCTATTTCAGCATCCGGGTAACCCTCATTGCATGAGGGTTAAGGAATGTCTCGAAATAGCACTTTATTTCTAAATTTGGTTCTATGTAGACAACACCAAATTTCAAAATAGTGTATTTCAAAATAAACTCGAAATAAGTATGCAATTTACATAGTGCAAATTGCGTACCTTATTTCAAGTTTAGAGTGCAGTGTAGACATAGCCAAAGGGTTATTTAGTTTCTTTAGGAGCTTCAGGAGGTAGCTAAGTTAGTCTGTACAGGATAAACTTAAAAAAAATGATCTGGTAGCACTTTATAGACTAACAAAACATGTAGATGGTATCATGGGCTTTCGTGGGCACAGCCCACTTCTTCAGATGACTGGAGTTTTGAGTTTAGGATGTGCAGACCCAAAATAAATAGGGAAGAAGGGAGAGAGGAAAAAGGGAAAAAATGGAAGGGGCAGGAAACAAGGAGCAGTGGGTAGTACCCTTCCTCTCTAAGCTGTGTCCAGACTCAGGGGTTTTTTCGGGAAAAGTAGCCTTTTTCCGAAAAAACTTCACCTGCGTCTAGACTGCAGCCGCGTTCTTTCGAAATTAAATTGAAAGAACGCGGCTTTTCTTTCGACGGCGGTAAACCTCATTTCACGAGGAAGAACACCTTCTTTCGAAAGTGCTTCTTTCGAAAGAAGGCGTTCTTGAATGTAAATAGGGCTTCTTCGAAAGAGAGCATCCAGACTCACTGGGTGCTTTCTTTCGAAAAAGCAGCTTGCTCTTTCGAAAGTTCCGCGTGCAGTCTAGTAAATAGGGCTTCTTCGAAAGAGAGCATCCAGACTCCCTGGGTGCTTTCTTTCGAAAAAGCGGCTTGCTCTTTCGAAAGAGGCTTGCAGTCTAGACATAGCCTAAGGGTATGTCTACACTGCCACCCTAGTTTGAACTAGGGTGGCTAACGTAGGCAATCAAAGTTGCAAATGAAGCCCGGGATTTAAATATCCCATGCTTCATTTGCATCTTGCCGGGCACTGCCATTTTTAAATCCCCGTTAGTGCGGACTCCATGCCCGCAGCTACATGCTGCACGGAGTAGGTAGTTCGAATTAGGCTCTCTAATTCGAACTACCGTTACACCTCGTTCCACGTTAGAGAGCCTAATTTGAACT